AAGACAAACCTAGACAGCATCTTAAAAAGCAGAGACATCACCTTGCCGACAAAGGTCTGCATAGTCAGAGCTATGGTTTTTCCAGTAGTGATGTATGGAAGTGAGAGCTGGACCATAAAGAAGGCTGCCTGCCGAAGAATTGATGCTTTTGAATTGTGGTGCTGGAGGAGACTCTTGAGAGTCCCCTGGACTGTAAGGAGATCAAACTTATCCGTTCTGAAAGAAATCAACCTTGAGTGTTCGCTCACTGGAAGGAGAGATCCTGAAGCTGCAGCTCCAATATTTTGGCCGTTTCATGAGAAGAGAAGACTTTCTGGAAAAGCCCCTGATGATGGGAAAGTGTGAAGGCAAGAGGAGAAGGGGATGACAGAGGATGAGATGCTTGGACTGTGTCATTGAAGCTACCAACATGAATTGGACCAAACTCTGGGAGGCAGTGGAAGACAGGAGGGCCTGGCATCATGAGGTGTCGGACACGACTTAATGACTAAACAACAACAACAACAAAAATCGAAGTTATTCTGCTCTGTGATTCCCTGCACTTCTGCTGCATAGCTAGAGGAATTTAACCAAACATTCAAGACCCTGCAACGAAACAACCCCATTTCCTATGTCATATACCATGTCACCAACAACATATGCAGTGCAAATTAGTGCATGATATGTTGTGGTATAACTGATAAGACAGGGGAATCAGGGTGTGATCACACAGAGAAATAGATTGCAATTCGTAATCTATTTCCTCGTGATCCTTCAAATACATTCAAGCCCAACCCTGATCCATACCCAAGCTCGACCTTTTTGGTCCAGTTGTAAGGCTTTTACTGTTTGGGGCATGGGCTGGACCAATTCTCCAGCAGATGGAAGAGTCACTTTGAAGGAGATTGCTCCCATTTAAAATGACCCTGATTGACGCTACCAAAACACCACCAGCTTACTGTTTAATAGAGGAGATTCAGATCTGGGTGTAAGCTTTTCACAGTCAAAGAACCTTATTTCTATGCAGCACTAAATATTTTGTGACTTAAACCAATCATCTGAATTAAAAACAACTGTAAGATAAATTGAATTGTAAACCATGCCTATTTTATTAGAATTGATCTCCCTTCCTCTGCCTTAATTCCAGAGTATGTGTGGCAGTTAGGGCTATCCATCACAATACCTATATATCACCTGCAGTATGAAAAGGAATATGACTTTGAGATATATATATATCAGTAAGCAATATATTGTGGAGATTATCAGCTGTTTTGAAAGTTCTGGGTGAAACAAGAAAGGGTAGCTGAATGACTGCAATGCTATGAGGGTTTATTACCTCTTGGGAACTGAAAAGGAGTAAGAGAGAAATTCATCAGTCATTTGAAACAATAAGCCTGAACGTTAATAAGGCTTTCTAGCAGCTGGTGGCAAACAAAAAGATGGAACTAAAGTGCAATTCTTATACCACTACTTGCTTCCAGTATTCAGCTAAGTTGTTTCATAATCTACTTGTTGATTTAAAGCACGTAGTTTGTCTATCATCAAGATACAGTGGTGCCTCGCTTAGCGATTGCCTTGTTTAACGATGTATTCACTTAGCGATGAGGTTTTAGGAGCAATCTTGCACTCCGTTTAGCGATGTTTCCAATGGGGAAATTTCGCATAGAGATGTTCGGGACCTTGCTTCACTTAGCAATGACAGTTTAGGTCCCCCTGTTCCACTTAGCGATGTTTTTGACAGCTCTGTTTTCACTATCTTTAAAAGGTGTTAAATTGTTTTAAAAGGGTTTAGAGTGCTTGAAATCGTTAGTGCACTTAATAAAACCTTTGTTAACCAAATTTGGCTTCGTTCTGACTCTTTTTGAATTTTTGGTGATTTTTTTCTCCCCCATTGAAATGCATTGAAAAGGTTTCAACACATTCTAATGGGGGAACTGTGTTTCGCTTAGCAATGTTTCCTATGGCGATTTTCGCTTAAGGACAGCAATCCGTTCCCATTGGAACGGATTATCCGGTTTTCAATGCATCTCTATGGGAAAATGCTTTTCGCTTAGCGATGTTTTCCCATAGCAATGTTTTTTCCTGAACCAATTAAAATCGTTAGGCGAGGCACCACTGTACAAAGATAAAACTTCCCAGTTATAACTACATGAAGCTGCCTTCTTTTGAATTAAATTACTGAATATGTTGAAAACATTGCTTCTACTGATTCCTGTATGGTGTTTTTCAGCTTGTTATGGAAGATAATTTAGGTAGTGAAGGGGAAAAGGATGGATGCCAGATGTCCACTGAACTACAGAAAACCTCAAACCTCCTATGGTGCTTTAAGGACCAGCTTCATGGAATAGAGCCCGTTTGGTTTATTTTAATTGTTTATCTTTTAAAAATGTATTTAAATTGTTGTAAGCCACCCAGAGACCTTTGGATAGTGTGGGTGGCATATAAATTTAAATAAATAAATAAATATATCAGTAACCAGAAACCCAATGGTGCAATTGCACTCATGTTATGCTGGTGAACTTCTCATAGGCAATGAACGTTTATTTGTGAATAGGATGCTAAATAAGATAGGTCTTCAGTCTGATCAAGCATGACTTTTCTTACCTTTAAATACAAGCATGTAGTAATCATTCCTCTGTCCTGAAGCATTACTTTAAGGAGCAGAGTGCTATGAGCACACATAGACATGGCAGTTGCATTTGTCTCACCTCCCAATTTATATGAATCAAATCTCTTTCTGGCTGAGACTCTGCTTTTTTCACATTTTGTCTAGATCTCTGTCAAAAAGTGCATGTTTCTTTGCCAGCCGAAGTTGATGCCATTCTGAACTTTGTATGATGCAAATAATGTACAAAAAAAAAACACAAAACCCCGCACAGACCAACTCAATGTCACAAATTCAATTATCTTGAAAGGATATGTCAGTTTTCTATATGCAGTCTCATGCTGTCAAACTGCCCTTTCCTGAATGAGCTCACCTGGGATAATATTATTGTTAAAAGTCCATATGATTTGGGGTATGGGAACTCCAGTTGCTTTGCAAGTTAACCGAAGTTGTTCTCCTTTGTTTAAAGCCACATCTCCAGGGAGTTCAATAAACTTTGGCAGCACATGGACTGTTAGGTTTACAGTGTGGCTATCCTCACCAGCAACATTGCTAGCAATACAGGTGTAGCTGCCAGAATCCTCAGGCTGCATAAGAGAAGAAAAGAATAGCTTGTAAAAATTTAACAAAATGCAATCAACATCATCATCTTAGAACTGATGTGCTGGAAGGGACCCTATAGGTCATTGAGTCCAACCCCTGTCAAGGAGGCACATCAACAGAGATGATGTTTTAGTACAACTTCTCTGTGTGTGCAAAAAGCAAACCTAAGCTTCATGCTAGAAATATTACAGAAACAACTTCCACAATGATATTTCTTTAGAAAGTGTGTTCTTGAGCCTGCCACAAATCATATTTAGAGCTATTTAAGAAGCACCAAAGTAAAGACTAAAAGAACAATGTATACATCAGGGTCTGGCTACTGAACCTGATAAAATAATGAACCCGTTAGAGGATGGCCAAGGATGTTGTAGTTATGGACTTCCTCGACTGGCAAACAATGTTCCTTAAGCTTTCCCCTCCAAACTCTTTATAATAAAAAGTCTGAAGCTATCCCAGAAACAAGCTCACGGTAGAGGAGGGGATATAGACAAACATAGTATGAATTCTCATAGGGTCACAAAGAGTCTGATACGACTTAATGACTAAACAACAACAACAAAAGTATGAACTGCTATCCTCCTGCTTCCATATATGTGATGTTAAGGACTATACAGGCTGAGATGGGCGGAAGAAAATACATATTGTCTCTCACTCTTCCCAGCCTAGGAAGAAATATCTACTGATGGAGATACAAGGTAAAAAACAGACTAACTAAGAAAGGTTGCTAATAGTTTCTGCTTCCACTGGTATCTGCCTAAGACCTATCCAGCCTTCTCTGATTGTATCTGAGGAAACTTCAAAAATTCTCGGTCAGAGTCTGTATGGTTACTCTTTTGATGTAGTGAATGGTATGTTCTGAGTTAGGTGACTTTTTTTTGAAGATTATGGTTTGTTACTGGAGCATAACAATATATGCATAATGAACACACCTTGAACCTTCTCTCACAAGGTTACCGTGAGCTTCATGCCTGTGGACATCCTGCGCTACCTGGATGAAGAGCTTGCCTGTGCATGAAACACTCACTTTGTTTCATTGGGTACACAGCATGCTCTCAGTTTTGTTGAGAAGTGTCCTGAATATATGGACTGCATGTCTGATTCCTGATTCACTGAATTATCTATAAGCCACAGAAAAATTCAATCCCAACTCAAGCAGCAAGTGACAAAGATGGCTATTTGAGGTCTATGGATCAAACAGTTCCCCATATGATGTTTCTTTTTAAAGCAAGGGAGAAAAACTTTCCTAGGTGTCTTACAAAATAATGTATCCTTCATGCATAAAAAATAATAAAATAAAATGAAATTAAATTGGGGGTGGCGGCGGCGATGCATGCTCTTCCCAAACTGTTTTATGAACTAAATGAGAGGGGAGGGGGAAGGCTAGTTTCTCTCCTTACTCCTATTTATCCTGAGCACTTTGATTTAAATGAGATTTACCACAGCATTTTCCACAACAAGATCTCCGTATGGCACAGTTGTGTGTTTTCCCATCAAGTTTGTTAAAAGAATCTCATCTTTCTTCCATTTCATGGATGGTGTTGGATTTCCATCAGCAACACATGGCAGAACTACACGGAAATTTTCCACAACTGTGTAGTGATCCTCTGTACTGCGTATCTTAGGTGGAACTGTATGAGGATATTTTTTAAAAAATAATACAGTTAATTGTTCATGGATTTTCAAAACTTGAATATGGATATCATCATGTGCATGCATGGCATCAATAATATTCATATAACCATCTCAATGTAAGAGTGTTCAACCCAGTATTTATGTAGGAGATAACTGAGAGAGATCGATCTGTTATGTGTGCACATACAGCATAGAAGAAGAATGGTTGCATTCTACAAATACGTGACAGAAACTGTGATGGGAGACTAAAATACAGTCGTGGGGGGGGAAGCACATCCTCTTTGAATTCTATTTTACATTTTATGTTTATAAAAATAATCTGGTCCTTAGCAGGTCTGAAAATTAGGTAAATACAACTGCAGATGGATGACAACTGTAACATACAGCTCTGCTCTCACCTGTCCGTCACAGCTGGGCAGGGGAACATCAGCCAATGAGAGGACGGAGGGTGGTGCAGAAGGGGGAGGAGCTGGATTATATAAGGGGTGTGTGTGATGTGTGAGGGGGAGAGTTTTGAGAGTTTGGGTGATGAGATAAATTGTTAGAGAGATAGATTTGTGAGAGATAGTCAGTGATGGAAAAGTCTGTGTGAGGTACATTAAATGAGAAACTTGATTTACAACTTGATTTACTACCTGTGATTCACTCCATTTTATTTTGTCAAATCAATAAACACAGTTTTTGTTTTAGAAGAAACACTTGTTCTTTTTGATTACTAAATAAACTTTGGTGGCAGCAGTAGAAGAAGAGTAGTGAGTACTCTGGGAGGCCTGAGTTGACAGAAGCTTCGGAGGGGCCCGCTACAACAACACATGACATATTGCACCGTGTCATGATTTATTTAGCAAAAATAAAACCAAAATGGAGAAACCATGTGTGAAAAACTAAGTATACCTTATGATGCAATAGCTTGTAGAACCACCTTTAGCAGCAATAATAAAGTTATTGTTTTCTGTATGACTCTATCAGTCTCTCACACCATTGGTGGTTTGTCATTAGATGCATGAGTTGAAACAAGCCTCAGGCTCATATGCTCCATGCAAAGTGACTTCATTTAAATTTATATTCATTGTCCTGTCGCATTATCCACTTTTGGCCAAGCTTTGACTCTAGAATACTTTGGTATAGAGAGTTCATGTTCGACTCAAAGACTGCAAGGTGCCCAGATCCTGGGGCTGCAAAACAAGCCCAAATCATCACCCCTTCACCACTGTCCTTAACAGCTGGTATGGGGTGTTTGTGTATGGTTTTTGCCAAATATGGCTCTGTGCATTTTGATCAAACATCTCCACTTTGGTCTTATCTGTCCAAAGGATATTGTGGTTCATCCAGATGCAACTTTGCAAGTCTTATAATTTGTACAGATGCAACTTTGCAAATCTAAGCCATGCTGCCACAATCTTTTTAAAGACAAGAGGCTTTCTTTCTTCTGGCAACCCTTCCAAACAAACTACTTGTTCAGTCTTTTTCTAATTGTACTGTCATGAAGTTTAACATTTAAAAACTGAGGCCTTCACTGGCCGACACCTAAGAAGCTCCATTTCAGCATCAGCCTAAACATAAGATTTCTCATCTCATCTCAGGCAAAATGACTCACACCATAGCAGGCGTTCGTTCATTCGTTCGTTCATTCATTCATTTCTGTACCACTCATCTGGCTGCAAGGCTACTCTGGGATTTATAATAATCATTTCGCACAGTTTCTTAATAAAATCAATGTTCCTTCTGAGCTGATGGGTGTTGCCATTGCTGTTAGGGCCTAAGAAGCAGTAAATGGGTGTGGGAGGATGGGGGGAAAGGGTATTTGTGGATAGAAGGGAATGCTGAGAGTGGGCTGGCTGGCTGAATGTTTCCTGGCATGGTCACCCTACTAGTCAATACTCAGGGTTCCATGGCAAAAAGGCTGGTAAGTTGTGACCAGATCATTGCAATGTCTAGCTGTTTCCAAGTGTAATGTGTCCGTCACTGTGGGCTATATCCTCAATTGCTAGATGTGCCATAGATCATCCCACTGATTTCCTTTCCTTTCTGTATAAACATTATAGGCTGTGTTGGCACAGGATGCAAGAGGAGACAACATCGCATACCACTGGCAGATCTTCCCACCTGCCCCACAGAGTTGCAGAGACAGCTCCACAAAACTGATATGCTAATTAATGATCATTAATGTAAGTAATAGGCAGAAGCCTACTCAAAGTTGATAGAGTGCTGCTGTCTATTCATTAGAATATTGATTGTGTAATTCAGTGGTTCTTAACCTTTTTGAAAGAAACGCCCCCTTGAGCCATTGAGGAAGTTATCATCGCCCCCTCCCCATGGTGATGATATTTATTTATTTATTTATTTATTTATTTATTTATTTATTTATTTAAGACACTTAAATCCAATGACCCCTGAAAACAAAATTCAATTCCAAGAAAATGAAATGCCCCCAAAAAGTAACATTTAATAATTTAGTTGCAAGCGAATTTTAAGATGCAAAAAGAAATACAGCATAAAAAGGGCATAAAAACAAACCGCAATGCAGGAACTAAAAATTTCAAGACAAAAACTCTGAAACTAAATTAAGATTGGAGGAAAATATATATTCATGCACACTGTAAAAAGGCTGCAGCCATCTTCACAGGTTTGGCTTGCTCCAGGCCCCCCTACTGTCCTCCCTTCTCCTCCAGCGCCCCCATGCCGCCCCTTTTTGTTCTACTGCCCCCCTGAAAAATGAAATCGCCCCCTGGGGGGCATTATCGCTCACGTTAAGAACCTCTGGTGTAATTGATGTAGAAAGCACAATTGCATCCATGAAACTATGAAAAACACACCACCTTAACCACCGTACTAGTATTCACCATGATTATGAGAGCAGCTGATGTTTCCCATTTCTAGTCTTACTTACTAAGGACAGTGAGTTCCATGCTGGAGCTGCTTGATCCAGCCACATTTGTTGCAGTGCATGTATAACGTCCAGTGTCAGCGGGCTGAGCAAATGCAATCTGCAAAGCTCCTGTGCTGAGAATCCGCAGCCTCATGGACTCTGTGACCTGCTCTCCATCTTTATACCATGTAGTCTCAGGAACTGGGTAGCCTTCTGCTTCACACAACAGAGTGGCAGGTTTATCCACAACAACAACATACTCTTCCAGATGAGATTTGATAGCTGGAGGAACTGAAAGGTTATTTTCAGTTGTTTTAGTGCACAGTACTATAATACAATGAAGCAATTCTCCTTTTATTCCATAGACTTACTTCCCAGCACCCTCCATCTTAGAAAAGAACTGTCATCTGGACCAGACCCCTCTCCATTTTATGAACAGGTTAAAAGCAAACATTGTCAGGTAGGTTGGCAAGCACGCAAGATACCAGTGAGTGTCTTTATTCTTTAGTCTGATCATTAGTTTGATTGGGAATATGGCCATCAGTTTTTAAAGACACACAGACTTTAACAGGTCTAAAGGACTTGCTTGTTCCAGACAGTATTTAATTTCAGCCCATCATCTTTATTATTATGATCATATATCAGTCAAATAAAAATACACTTTAAGAATACTAACAAGGCAAAAGGTCTCTAAAAGCAACAATACTGTTTTTAATTTATTTTAAGGCCATATTTTATACTGTGATTTTTATTATAATGAGTTATTTTTTAAAAAATAAATTTATTTTATGATTTATTATTTTGCTCTGTAGGATACTTTGCCCCGAAACTTTTATTGTACAAGAATACATTTAATAAACAAATAAGCCAGCAAAATGCTTCCTTTTTTCCATTTGTTAGGCTGTAATGATTTATTTGCTATTTATTATTTTATTTATTTATTTTTTACACTTTTATACCATACCATCTGGCTTGAGCCCACACTGGGCGATGTACAGCAGAGAACAAATTACAATTAATAATCATAAAACACCAACATAACAAATTGATATAATATTATAAAATAAACAACAGAACAAAGGATCAAAAAGCAACTACAGTAAATTAAATGAATCATTGAATAAAATTCAGAATAAATAAACACTGAACATTAAAAACAGGTGATGGATTATTTTTCATGTTTAATTATCCCTTAAATGATGCATTTTTAAGAAGGGATACCAGGATAATCATAGTTAGCAACCATCTAGCACCATGATGAATGATATCTGTGGTGATCTTAGATAAACAATAAGGCTATAGTTAATGTAAAAAATTTACCTTGAATTTTTAGTTTGATCTTTCCAACTACAGTGCCTGCTGGGTTCTGAGCAACACATATATAAGTTCCAGCATCTTCAGCAGTAGCCTTTGTAATCTGCAGACCGCCACTGGGAAGAACTGTATAACTGTTCCCTAGAATATATGCTATTATTAACGCATCAAATAACAAACAATGTATAGGAGCCATGTAATAGCCAAAGGAATTGTATATATCTAAGCTAGAAAGTACTCGGACATTTATGCTAAAAAATTTCAGATACTTACAAAACGTCAACAAGTTAAGGGGGAGCATTTATACACTTTTCATAATGAGAACATGAAAAAATGTGGATTTAATTTGTCAAAATAGCAATTTAGGCTAAACTTTAGCATTAGCCTTTGTTTAAGAGGAAATGGTGGAATAAATTTCCTAAACAGATCATGAACTCCTTTCTTCTCAATTTTCTAGAAAAGATTTAAATTATATCCATGTTCTATGGAATCTAACAAATAGGCAATGAGATTGTATTTTATGAGCCCTTAGGGTTGCTAAGAGACTTTGGGTATGGCTACATTCGCAGCAGGGAGCAAACTAGTGTGGTCTGATTGGGAATGGTCAGGCTTGCGTAGAATCATCTAATCAAGTATGACCATTCACACGGAAATGGCTTCTGCCAATATCATGAAGTGGCTTAATAAGCAAGCCACTTCAGGTTACTGGGCAAATTAATCACTTCCCTTGCTTGGTAGAGGGTAGGGAAAGTGAAAAAATAATATTTCTACTGTATATAGACTATTGTTGCACTGCATCAGTTCTAAAATAATTTTTTAAAAAATCTTTTCTTTGCCCTGTCTTAAAGAGCTGGTCAACAAACTACCTACAAATCCAGTATCATGGATTTGAGAATTATTATTAACATTGTTGTATTTACTGGGTGGTGGTGTTCTGTTTTGTTTGTTTGTTAATTCAGTTTATTTTGTTTTTATGCTAAATCTGCAATAATAACAAGTTAAAAAAGAGAAAAGGATTTACATATGCATATGATTGAACTGCTTTCATTATATTTAATTACTGTCAACTAAATGTCTACAACTGCGTATGCCTGAAGTTTACCATGTACACTGAAAGGACTTGAAAGATTTATCTTCAGTGGTTCATTTTCTCATAACTATCATCACTTAACTAACAAGCTTGTGTAAACTAACTCCTGGAGATGTTTCAAGTATAAAGTATCCTTGGGATATGTAATGATGGTACTTCTTTCCTTCCAACTGTGTGGTGCCAGATGTTCTTAGGAGAACAGAAATAATGAAACAAAGCAGCTTACCTGTTGTGATTATACTGACCCCTTCCTTCTGCCACGTTATTACAGGATGAGGTGTGCCTACTGCTTCACATGGTAAGAGAATGGCATTGTTGAGAATAACCTCAAGTGTTCCAGGCTGGACTTGAATAGTTGGTGGTTCTAAGAACAAAGGAGCACAAAAGAAGAGCAGTTCAGAGATAAAATAATGACAATTGTAATAAAGCAATAACATATTTTAAAGTCATTTTTTAAAATAAAATACATGAAACAAAAGTAGAAGCAAAAACATTTCACTGCAGACCAGCAGTGTGATTAGGCAATCTGATGTGACACTATGGCTGAAATCTTGTTGCATCATGCATAATTATGCAAATAGCATAACCTTTAGTCACAAACTGCTAAGAAATATCTGAAGGCATTATCTGTTGCATGCTGACTAGAGATGGGGTATTCGTATTCATAACGAGCATAACCACTCACCTGGAGTTAATGAGAGTCTGCCCCCATGTCCAGTGGCACCGGCGGCCTCGCTCATCCTGGCAATCAATCCTGGAGCCATGCTCTTTTCCTGCCAGACCATCCACTCATGTGTCCAGTGGCACCGGCAGCCTCATTCATCCTGGCAATCAATCCTGGAGCCTTGCTCTTTTCCTTCTCAGCTAGAGACTCCATAGCCATGCAGGGAGATTTGTCCTCCCTCCTCTTGCCTGGACTTACTAGCCAAGCAGGAAGAGAGCAGGGCTCCAGGAGTGTTTGGAAGGATGAGCGAGGCCACTGCCACCACTGCAGCAAAATTTAGCAAATAGAGCTGTTCTTAAGTTGGATTGTTCTTAAGTAGGGACGTTCTTAAGTAGAGACCCCACTGTACCCACATCTCTAATACTGACTCATACAACCCAGTATACAATAGATAATATGGAGATTATTTACTGTATAGTAGTTTGTGTCTAAAACTTACGGGTTGTTTACATTTTTTCATAAAATTAGCTCTACAAACAGATGATCTGAGCATTACAGAGTAATCGGGTATACAGATATGATCAGATAGAATAATCCATATTTACAGGTGTTGATACACAGAAGCTCTCTGATTAAAGAAAAGCTGTGATCAGGCAAAGAGTTGAACAAAGCCCAGTCTCTCTCCGACATGCTAGCAGTTTTCAACAAGATAGTCATGTTGGTCTGTTTAAGCATGTATAATAAAAATAAAAAAAGAGTTATGGAATGTTAGACAAACAGATGTAGTCATGTTGGTCTGTTTAAGCATGTATAACAAAAAATAAAAATAAAAGAGTTATGGAATGTTAGACAAACAAATGTTTTTCATGGTTGTTGTGGGTTTTTTTGGGCTCTTTGGCCATGTTCTGAAGGTTGTTCTTCCTGACGTTTCGCCAGTCTCGGTGGCCGGCATCTTTAGAGGACTGGAGTCCAGTTCTCTGAAGATGCCAGCCACAGAGATTGGTGAAACGTCAGGATGAACAACCTTCAGAACACGGCCAAAAAGCCCGAAGAACCCACAACAACCATTAGATCCCGGCCGTGAAAGCCTTCGCGAATACACAGATGTTTTTCAGTGTGAGATTTAATGGGTTGCAAGCAACATACCTTCTAATTTTCAGAACAGCTGGGTGGTCTCCGCCTCTCTCTCTCGCAACTCCACCCTTGTGTGTGCATATGACTCCACCACCCACACACATTGGGTTCCATCACAACTGGAACCTAATGCATTTGTTGCGCAGAGGAGGAAGACAGCTGCATGGAGGGAAGCGGAGTCATGTACACACACATGTGCAGCCAGCTTCGCAGAAACTTTGGCTGCAACCCATGCCTACAAACATGGTTCCTCAGTTGTGTCTGGGAAAGTTGATTTTAATCCACAAACTGCAACATTCAAATAAATCTGACATAAATTTCCTAACCCGATAGAAATATTTATGTAGGAGATGTGAACAATATCAATCAAGACCCTCTCCCCCAAGAACTGTTGGCACAGTCCCATCAGGGATGTATCCCCTAAATATGGTTATGGAGAAAATAGTTTTTGAGTTGGACAAGAAATGTGCATGTTCCCACCTCACCCTGAACATTAAGAGTGATGTGTCGGTGGGCTGAGCCAGCAGCATTCTGTGCAGTGCAGGTGTATTTTCCCGCATGGATCAGCTGAGCAGCAGTTATTTCAATAGCACCTAAAAGGAGGAAAGGTTGCTTCAGTTACGCTACATTTGGAAAAGTCAAACAGCCACTTCCAACTCTTGGGCAGTTCAAATGCAGTTTTGAACACTTCAAGAAAGTGAAAGGAATGCACAAATAATGGATGCTCCCAAAAGAAATTCCTAGTGTCTGGACTTCTAATGAAAGTATAAATATATCTGAACCTTTAATGAAACAGCAACTTGGGTCCATCCTCCCATCTCTTTGCCACAGCTAATTATTAGGTATGTGCATTCAGGTTCAGAATGCACCAAATAATACCATATTTGGATAGCTCTGAATATATCTGAATCTAAATTTGATAACTGCATATCTGTAATAATAATTCCTAGTATTTGGAGTCCCATTTAGTCCTATACAGTGATGCCTCGACTTATGACCACAATCTGATCCAGAAGATGGATGTAACTTGAAATGGTTGTAAGTCAAAGCACCATTTCCAATAGGAATTCATTGAAATGTGATTAATCCATTCCAGCCAAAGAAAAATATCACCAAAAAAATCAATGCAAGACTCTTTGGAAATGCAATTAATCCCTTCTGGCCGAAGGGCAGGGAAAAAAGAAAAGCAATCAAGCATGCAAGACCCATCAGAAATGCACAGAAAAAATGGAGCAGATTGGAAATGCACAGAGAACAAAGGGACCAGGTCAGAAATGCAAAGAAAACAAACAAAAAAGCAAGGGAAGCATGCAAGACCCATTGGAAATGGGAAAAAACCCAAAAAGCAACCCCCCAGCCTAAAACCACGCTGCAAAAACACCCAGAAAAGTTTTTAAAAAGCAGAAAACAGCACCTTACCTTACCAGACAGCCTGAAGCCTCCCTGCAAATACACACACACACATGCTCACTTAGAAGCAGATGGAGGCAGTCCCAAGCCTCCTCCGATTGTACACTCTCTAACTGCTGGGGCGAAAGAGCTACAAAGAAGCAGCCTCATCACCACCTACAGTTAGCAATTTGAATTTCCTGCCTTTTTTCCCTGCCTCTTTTCTGTTCGTAAATGGACGCTCCAGTCGCAAGCAAAAGCAAAATTTTGCGGCCAGAGCTGGTTGTAACTCAAAATGGTCATAAGTAGGGACGTTCATAAGTCGAGGCACCACTGTATGTTAGAAAGGGCAGTGTTTCTGCTTGCTAGAGGAAGAAGTGAAAGTGGAACCTATTTCGTGAGAAATGAAACTTCAAGACACTCTGGCATCAAGGGCAGTGGAGGCAGAGAACTCAGTGACACATTGACAGTACGGTATGAGGTCCGGGGCAGGGGATTGGACTAGAAGACCTCCAAGGTCCCTTCGAACCCTACGATGATTCAATGATTCTATGACTCCTGTCTGGGGTTCCCGTGGGTTTTCCAAGGGAGGGAGGTGGTGTGAGAGCAAAACCTGTAAATGATGTCTGTTTGCACCAAAAACATTATTTCTCAGGCAGAGGACACTGTCAGTCCACACTGTTCATGCCTAGAAATTAGATCTATAGGAAAACATACATTTCTTAAGGTCAACCTCTGCTCACAGTGCTAGGTATGTCATGCTTCAGTCTGTTGCCCCCTCCTTCAGCTTCTTTCACTGGGAAGGTGTCAGAGGGCACAATGAAATCCTTTAAAAATGTTTTGACTGTTTGTGTTTTAAGGGCAAACTAATGACTATACAGTATTCATATTGCCTGTAATGGAGTTCCAGGTATCAAGAAATTCTCAATTTTTAAAATTCTGAAATGGAATTCCAGATCTAAATTTTGGTACTAGTACACATCCTTATGAGGAAGAACAAAATTGCTAGAACCAAAGAAAAGGAGTCCTTAGGGAATAGTCATTGACCAAAAGAGGGTAGAAAGAAGGAATAGAAGTTTACAGAAATAGAGTAAGGTAAGATATATCGTATGGCCTTTGGGCATCAAAGATTTTTCACAATAGCTTGGGGCTTTTGAAATAAAACATCAGTTACATATCCAAGCATCTGTTCGTTCCTCCTCTAACTCATACAGTTTGGCCAGAGCAGTGATCCTTAACCCCACCCCTACCTACCATGTCTCCTTCAAAACACTCTTCTCGTGGCAGGTTTCAAGATTCATGTACAGAACCTGAGCTGGAGGAAAATCAGCTGTAGCACATGATGCAAGACCAATGGGGAAAGATAATGTGCAGTTCCAGCCAAAGCGAATGGCACAGATTGAAATGACAGTGGCATTTCAAGGACTAAGAGCAAAACTGTCTCTAATGTTCCCCATAATGCGAACAGGAAATTCCAAAAATGTATTTAATAATCTTTATAGTCCATAACCTGAAGATAAAATTCTGTAGCCATCTCCCCGAGGAAGAAGCTTTATTCCATTCTTGGTCCAGTGTATTGTTGGCAAGGGAACACCTGTTGCAGTGCAAGGAATTACTACTGGAGAAGACTTGGTCACCAGCAGCTCTGTAGCTTCATCTGCTAAGGATGGTGGCACTAAGGAAAAGAAAGTCAAATAAAACTATTGGTCATTAACACTATAATAATGTTACCTCAAATGAATTACAATACAGGACTAGTAGAATGGGCACAACATGAGGGATATAGAGCACCATACTCTACACCACTGGTTCTTAACCTTGGGTTACTCAGGAGTTATGGACTGCGACTCCCAGAAGCTTTCACCACCAGCTGTCCTGACTGGGGTTTCTGGGAGTTGCAGTTCAAAAGCATCCAAGTAACAAAGGTTAAGAACCACTGCTCTACACGGCAATCCAGAACCTGTTGCATTGCCATCCATCTATAAAACTGGAATTGTTAAAATGAGGTAGGTAAGATGCATTCAGAGAAGTTGGTCAGAGAAAACAATCTGAATATATTGTATAAATTTGGGAAACACACGCGCGCACAGAGAGTGAGTGAGAGGGAAAGAGAGAGATAATATGAAGCCAAGGAACTTCTTAGGACATTGGGGGCAACATAAGCTCTTTCAGAAGTTGTTGGTCTACAACTTCCATCATCCATAGCCAATAGTAAGGAGTGATGGGAACTCCAGTCAAAGAACATCTGGAGAAGCAGATAGCTCATCCTTGTCCTAAGACAAAACATCTTTCTTAAAAAAGAAAGAAATGAAAATGAAATAAGCCAGGGCATCTAAAAAATTAAGAATTGTAATATAGTTAAAATTCCATGACTTATCAAACACAACTTCAGCACTGCTATCACCTTCAGAAAAGGAGATGAATACAAATCATGAGATCTTTCTATGAAGCACAGGTCAATGACATTCAACTGCTTGAGTTTTGTGCATATGAATGGAGTGTTACAAACCAACAGTTTATATCACTGGTGGTTAACACTATCTAGGTGGTAATCATGGAGTTCTAAGGAAACATTTCACTTATTCCTGATGCTATTTTCAATCTGCAAACTGTAGGAAGAGAACATTGGGTACATCTTAATTCCCTAGTTTCAGTTGCTACAAAATACCAATGAATGTGCATTTGAAAGGCCCTTATAAGGATGCTCTGATTGTGCCACAAAACTATACCTTGTACATTGAGAGCAATTGCTCTTTGATCCTTGCCGGCTTCATTTGTTACCACACATTCATACAGACCAGTATCATCTATGGTGGGAGAAATGATTACTAGTGACCCTGAAGACAAAAGCCTAAGGATAGGGAAAGAATGGGTGATTATTGTTCATTACAGTGTTGGGGAAAGAAAATGCAGCAGTACATTTACTGTCCTAAGGGATAGAGTTCAAATACTGACACTCATCTGGCAGGCAGTTCTATAGGAACACAGAGCTGGAAGGGATTCGGATGTATCAGTTTCTCTAGTCTGCTTTTTGGCCTTCATGTCAGAATTCTAACTGACCTCTCAAGAAATCTGATTCTGAAGTTTTTGGAGAACTGGTTCTCTTTCATTCATTTCACATCTAATGCTACAATATTCACAGACTGCAACTAGTGCAAAACAAATCTGGATTTGGCCTTTACAACTTTCATGCAACTAACATGCTCTTTCCAGACATCTGTCTTGGCTCCAGTAAGTCATGCTAAATATAAGTAGAATGGGCTTTAACCTATAATGTGAATATTCTTGTATAGGATGAGTCCATCATGATATCATGCACAGTAATGATGGCATTGCCTAATGACAAAAACAGTGGCTCTAAAAATGGCCAGCTGATTATGCATTGGTTGTAATCTGTAGTTCAGATTAATTACTTGAACACCAACTGGTCCTCTAAATTATTTCTCTATCACATAGAGCATATCTTATTCATGCTATTACCCACAAATTCCTTCCTGGTACATTCTTTAAAATTTCTAAGGAAATTTCTAAGGTACCATCTACAAAGGTACCTTGCCTGAAATAAATAATCAGACCTTATCATACATTTAATATTTATTTTTTAACAAGAAGAGTCTTCTCAAGCACTGAAAGACATATTTTTGTCACAGTGTACAATTTTCCTAAATTGCAGTGTTTTGTGAAAAGGAAACATGGGCCAAATATTACTCTTGAGGTGGTGGTGGGGAATCATTTAACTGAAGGGGACACAGATTGTCTAGTTTTGAGCCTCAGAGGCACACTTTTTCGTGTCATGAAAGACAGAAAAAGCCATAAAGAGTCCAGGCTCTAGAAGTCACCTCTGCTCTTTGGAATTTAACATCAACATGGCAGCAATTTAAATGTTTGCTCTCATAATGCAGTTATTAACCAAAGGTGACCAAAGTTTGACAAGATACTTGTTGCAATTTTGAAAGAAAGACATAAAGGACATTGCTGGAGGTGTTAAAGGTGTTACTTTGAAATAAAACTGATGGAACATTCATTGCATTTGTTCATTTATTTTATTTTATTTTATTTATTTTATTAGACTTCTACTCTGCCCATCTAGGCCAAAGGTCTACTCTGGGCAGCAGGCTTGGTTACATGTAATTAATTCTCATTTACAATGTATGGGAAACATAGATCGCCCACGGTCAAATTTTAGACTGTATGGCTCTATAAAAATTATAACAGTAAGCTTTCACCTGAATGAATTCTGCATCTGGTCCACATTAAGGGGGTGGCCATTTCTCTTCCAGGTTATTACTGGCTTAGGGATTCCTGTGGTTTCACATGGCAAGGTGGTTTGGACGTTCACAGTAACTGTGATGTTGACAGGCCCAGGAGCAACTGATGGAGGAACTATGTTTTAAAGCACAAAATATAATATAGCAATATTTACAAAGGATTCAGAAAAGATATCACAGCATATCTTGGAAATATAAATGAGAAAAATAGTGTTTGATGATGGAAAAAAACAAACAAAAGACCTGTGGTCTCAGTTTTTAATAAGTGGGAGCACTTAAGGTCAAAGATACATACCCTTTATTTCATCTCTGTACCAAAGTAACAAACAGAATAAAAACCTATCAGATCTGGAGGCCAAAGGACCAAACACTGTTGCAGTGTTTGTTGACTTGTGCTTAAAATGTTGAAAGTCTGGGATATCAATCTCTTTTATGTCTACCAAGCCTTAACAATAATTAACATGAAATAAAATAAGAACCACATCTGAAAAAGAGCCCAAGAAGTTTAACATGCTATATTGAGCTCTAAGCAACACATAAGAACGGAGCACTCAGGGAAAATTCAGCTCAACCAGCTGATGCTCAAGAATGCAACACTGAGAGGATATGGCCCCAATAAATTGTACAGTGGAATGTGAAAGCCATGCAGGCCATGTACATAATCTAAGATCAATCCTGCTTACACTATTTAATTTTAAGTGTAATTATGTCACTTCTAGGCAATATGCTTATCTGAAAAAATATATATATCCTTACCATGCACATGGAGGTCAATCCGCTTCCGCTCAGTGCCAGCAACGTTGGTTGCCATACAAAGATATCGCCCAGTGTCAGTAATTTGCACTGAATGTATATGAAGGGATCCATTGTTTGACACTAAATATCTAAAAGAAGGCATAGGGGGCTGAAACATGCCTGCACACACACAAACACACTATTAAAAATGGCATGTACACAGAACCTTTCCCTCTTCAACCCACAGTCCAGATATTGTATTTCCCCTTGAAAAATCAACATCTTAAACAAATGCAAGCTAAACAAGTAAACTGGGCACCCCTGGATTTGGGTCTCAAGTTTATCAACATTCAAAAGAGCCCCAAAGCATTTAAAATGGGGAAAGGACCGTAAATCACACTATTAAAAATGGCATGTACACAGAACCTTTCCCTCTTCAACCCACAGTCCAGATATTGTATTTCCCCTTGAAAAATCAACATCTTAAACAAATGCAAGCTAAACAAGTAAACTGGGCACCCCTGGATTTGGGTCTCAAGTTTATCAACATTCAAAAGAGCCCCAAAGCATTTAAAATGGGAAAAGGGCCATAAATGCGTTCTTCGTTACAACATTTCCTTAAAACAAAGAATGGAAAATATATTAATAATGTATCTTCCACAGAGAGACATGATGTGTGTATGTTTTGCAATTAGAATAACAGAATAATGGAAATAGAAGGAGCCTATAAGGCCACTGAGTCCAACCTACTGCTCAATGCAGGAATCCAAATCAAAGTATATCAACAGATCATTGTCTGTTTATGTACCAGTTTGCATTTATGTACAAAATGTTGCATAAGAATTAAGAAGCAACGGAATCCAAATCAAAGTATATCTAACAGATCATTGTCTGTTTATGTACCGGTTTGCATTTATGTACAAAATATTGCATAAGAATTAAGAAGCAACTAAAAACCTCAAAAAACAAATACTTCAGATACCTCTGCTCTACTCAATGCCAGGTAACATAGATGAGATTAAGAGTTACCATGTGAGCTAACCAGCTATAATAGTCAGAAAAGGTGATGTTAAAAATCAGACTACTGTCCTGGATTTAATTTTATCTCCCCAAAACTGGAAGAAAATAGAGGCACAGAAACGAGAGAAGGGTACTGAGAAAATATGGGAAGTGCTAGAAATGGATATCTTTCCAGACAGGCTGAATGTACATCCAAGGCAGAAGGAAATTGAAAGAGGGGATGTATTTTATAATTGGTCTTGATTTCTTGATAGAGTTGGAATAACTTAGATTTAAATTAAAACATGAATATAAGCTGATATTTAGAGGATAACCAAACAATATATAGATAGTATTAAAAAAAGAATACAAAGGTGTTTTTTGCATTGAAAAATGAACATATCAGAGGCATGTATACCTAATATGAATAGATTGGATGATTGTATACAGTGGGGTCTTGACTTGAGAACTTAATCCGTATTGGAAGGCGGTTCTCAAGTCAAAAAGTTCTCAGGTCAAATCTGCATTTCCCATAGGAATGCATTGAAAACCATTTGATCCGTATCTGCTCTTTTCCGTCCATAGAAACTAATGGGAAGCTGCTATTCCGCCTTCGACCACTGGAGGCGGATATTTTGTTTCTTTTTTTCTTAGGTCAAGAAAGGTTCAGGGAAGGCAGGGAAAATACAGTCCAGGCAGTACCAGGCAGTCTGAAGACTGTCTCCCAATCCACACTCTAAACGCTGGGAGGAGTGAGGAAGCAGACAGGCACCCTTTTCACTGGCCAACAGTTAACTGAAAGTTCGCTTTTTGCACTTTCCCTGCCTCCCACGTGGGTTTTTTTCAGTTCTTAACTCAAATCTAAGTATGTAAGTCAAGTCAATATTTTCCTATGAGAGCAGTTCTTAAGTCAAAATGTTCTTAACTCGAGCCGTTCTTAAGTCAAGACCCCACTGTACTCTGTGTTCTCCTATCCTCAAAACCCTTTCCCCATCCCTTACACTTCCTTTTACCTTTTGTATTCCCTACCCTATTCCTAGTAGTTTAAATTTTAAAAAATTTAAATAGAAAAAAGGATACCTCTGCTCTACTTAGATAATGTGATGTGATATGATATGAGTCAGTAACATTATAAATGCATGAGGTCCTCAAAAACACTCTGCTCATGAATGCATATTACAGTGCACAGTTGTAGCAGTTTGATTCTACTTTAGCTGTTGTGGATCCCTCTTATGGAATCCTAGCATTGGTAGCTTGATGAGGTACTCTGAACTCTTTCCTATAGCCCAGGGGATGGCAATAGAGCTCTTTAGCAGAGGATTTTGAGTGTATCATCAAACTACATATCCCAAAATTCCACAGGGTGGAGCCATGGCAGTTAAAGTGGAATCAAACTGCCATAACTGGGTGGCGTACATGCACCCTTACTGCCTCCATTCAGGAGCTGAGGACAGCCAGATCTTCACTGCACTCATACACAACCAGTGAATCTCCTTGGCCCAACATCAGACAGATGTGGATTCATTGTGTCAATCATTATTTCGTCTACTTCAAGAAAACAAGGCTTTCGTGGGTTTCATTTCTATATTGCAAACTCAAGCTAGAAAGGAAACATCATAACATCTGCTTTTTCTACCAATCAGTCATTACCTGGCATTGTTTCCAGCAAAAAGGGTCCCATCCTTTCTCCATGAAATTCTTGGGGCTGGAATGCCTTCCACAACACACTCCAAGACAGTAGACATATTAATATGCACAGTCACAGACTGAGGACCACTTTTAATTGTAGGAGCAACTGTATGTAGGGAAAGCATTAAAAGGAGAGTTTTTCTACTAGGCATGGAATTTTCTGCCACCCCACATTATTTGGACAAAAATGTTACATGAAGGTCAGCACTGATGTGCCACTAGAATTATATAATAGCAGCACATGAGATAGAAATATATTGCATTCCTCCAAATATCTAATATATTCCAGAGAGCACAAAATTATGTTGTTTAAACCGAGAATGAAAACTAAATTTCTACCATTTTTTCTCCAGATTTACACCCTATACATGAAGTATACTTAGAAACAAGTGCTACGGACGTACAAGTAGATGTGCCACTAGAATTATATAATAGCAGCACATGAGATAGAAATATATTGCATTCCTCCAAATATCTAATATATTCCAGAGAGCACAAAATTATGTTGTTTAAACCGAGAATGAAAACTAAATTTCTACCATTTTTTCTCCAGATTTACACCCTATACATGAAGTATACTTAGAAACAAGTGCTACGGACGTACAAGTATGTACTAGGCTATACATGAAGTATACTTAGAAACAAGTGGTACAGACTTACAAGTATGTACTAGGGATGGGGATGAATATAAAAATGGATCATTTTTTCTGACGAATATATCCAATTCATTAAATACTCATCGATCCGTATTTGTGGGTTCCAGAGACCCCCATGAATACTAAGGGATGAATATTTACCCATTTTTATTTATCCTTTATATTTAAAAAACCAACACCATTCTGCCTACTGGCTGCTGATCACCTGATCGGCGGCAGAAAGGCAGCCACCACCCCACACAGCCACCCAATACCACAGCCTACCCTCACCCCCTTCCCTTCCCTACCTTAGGCTCCACGCCATGCCACCCCATCTCCACCAACACCCTCTTACCTTAATCGCTGCTGCTGACGTTTTCTGGCCTCGGAACTACACATGTAAAAATGAAGACTGGCTGCCCTTCATTTAGGAGGGAAGCTGCAGCTGCCATCATTGCAAAGGGCAGCCTGGATTCCCTTAGCCTCCCTCAAGGGAATCCAGGCTGCCTAAAGATAGCAGCTGCCGCTTCCCTACCCTAAATGAAGCCACGGCCACCATCTTTGCAAAGGCCAGCCAGTCTCCCTTTTTACACGCCATGGCTGTTGGGGTGAATGCCTGGGGGGTGGCTGCCTATTGGCTTCTGACCAGCGGATCAGTGGCTGGTATGCAGAATGGGCTTCTGTGCTGTGTGGTAAACTTTCCTGGGGGGACCCAATTTGTGGGTGAACAACTCGGATGTCTGATATCCAATCTTCACCAAAGTTGGCAGGTGTGTTGGGAAAAGGCATAGGAAGCTCCGTTGTGATTCTGGAGTCTCTAGGTACCTGGGGGGAGCTTTCCTGGGGGTGGCCCTCTTTGAGACTACATAACTCGGCGGTCCTTGATCCAATGTTCACCAAGCTCCCCTGCAAATCAACGGATTGATTCTTTGAAGAATATTCGTATATTTGTATTCGTTGATCCATTAACCTTGACGAATAATGGTTCAAAACAAATCACATTTTTTTATTTGTCCCCATCTCTAGTATGTACATTAGTGGCCAAAATCCTGTTGTTTTGTTTAATAAATTGCACCAGAGTAGGCCCATTTGAATCAATGGAATATACACTGCAGTTGACTCACTAAACCTCATTGATTCAATAAGCCTACTCTAGTGTGATTTAGTACACTAAGCTGCAGGACTTTTGTCTATATTTGCAGGCTTCATTTGATGATTACTTTCGTCCTACCAGTATTTTGCTGGTCTTCTACCACAGGTGTTCTCTCACCTGATATTTTATATTTTTTACTATAATTTTAAAGAATTTAATTCATGGGATGAATATCATCAGAACAGTGGCAACCTATCCACATTTTCCTGGGGGGGGGGAATCAAAGTATGCATACCTTTATTTAAAATAAATAAAAAAAATACCCTCCCAGAAGTCTTCCAAAAGCATGATTTTGCTTTAGAACAATTTGCACCTTCCACACATATCTTGATTTCATGAGAAATTTTCTTTCCTTGCTCTACCATTGGCATGGTGCATCTTCCAGTGGACTCAAAGGGGAGGAAGCACCCCTCCAATTTCAATAAATTGCCCATCCCCTCTTTAAACCATGTTTTGAGCAAGACGGTATCCCAATACATCGTGAGGTGCCACATTATTAGCAAAAACAGATAACATGGTTTTGGCTTGAACAGATCTTTTAACTGAACGTAAGGGATCACATGTCTTCTCACATTAAAAAAATATTCTTTGTATCCAACACAATATGAAGTTATGTAGAAGATACACAATAACTACTCAAACATCCTACTTTCCCATGTATTCTTTTTTCTAATAGATGATCATTCAAACCTACAATTTTTCACCTGCCATCTGAAGTCCAGGAAAGTAGTACCACATCAGTATGCTGAATATAGCTTTCAATAAAGTGAAAGAGAAGCATAAAGATTCTCAGAGAGGTTTTATGTACAGTACCCCCGAAGATACACAATAACTACTCAAACATCCTACTTTCCCATGTATTCTTTTTTCTAATAGATGATCATTCAAACCTACAATTTTTCACCTGCCATCTGAAGTCCAGGAAAGTAGTACCACATCAGTATGCTGAATATAGCTTTCAATAAAGTGAAAGAGAAGCATAAAGATTCTCAGAGAGGTTTTATGTACAGTACACCCCCTTTTCCATGGGACCAGTATCTGCTGATTCACTTATCCACAGTCTGAAAATATTAAACATTTTAAAAGAAAAATCATAGACGTACGAAAATATTAAAAATTTTAAAAGAAAAATCATAGACGTATATATATTTATAAAGATGAAGTTACCAGAACTGGCAACTAGAGAGAGCCAGAGACTATACTATGCATCATCATGTAGGCATCCTTCAGAAACATCTACGTCTGCTTCATTGACTATGCAAAAGCCTTTGACTGTGTCAACCACAACAAACTATGGGAAGTTCTTAAAGAAATGGGAGTGCCTGACCACCTTATTTATCTCCTGAGAAACCTATACGTGGGACAGGAAGCAACAGTTAGAACTGGATACGGAAGAACTGATTGGTTCAAAATTGGGAAAGGAGTATGACAATGTTGTATATTGTCTCCCTGCTTATTTAGCTTATATGCAGAATACCTGGATGAATCCAAAGATGGAATTAAGACTGCCGGAAGAAACATCAATAACCTTAGATATGCAGATGATACCACTCTGATGGCAGAAAGTGAGGAGGAATTAAAGAACCTCTTAATGAGGGTGAAAGAGGAGAGCACAAAAAACAGTCTGAATCTCAACTTCAAAAAAACTAAGATCATGCCCACTGATCCTATCACCTCCTGGCAAATAGAAGGGGAAGATACTTTCTTGGGCTCTATAATCACTGCAGATGGTGACAGCAGCCACGAAATTAAAAGACGCCTGCTTCTTGGGAGGAAAGCAATGACAAATCTAGACAGCGTCTTAAAAAGCAGAGACACCAACTTGCTGACAAAGGTCCGCATAGTCAAAGCTATGGTTTTTCCAGTAGATATGTATGGAAGTGAGAGCTGGACCATAAAAAAGGCTGATCGCTGGATAATTGATGCTTTTGAATTGTGGTGCTGGAGGAGGCTTTTGAGAGTCCCCTGGACTGCAAGGAGATCAAACCTATCTGTTCTGAAGGAAATCAACCCTGAGTGCTCACTGGAAGGACAGATCTTGAAGCTGAGGCTCCAATACTTTGCCGTCTCATGAGAAGAGAAGACTCCCTGGAAAAGCCCCTGATGTTGGGAAAGTGTGAAGGCAAGAGGAGAAGGGGATGACAGAGGACGAGATGGCTGGACAGGGTCATCAAAGCAACCAACATGAATTTGACCCAACTCCGGAAGGCAGTGGAAGACAGGAGGGCCTGGCGTGCTCTGGTCCATGGGGGCACAAAGAGTCAGACACAACTTAACAACTAAACAACAATAACAAATGCCTTTCAGCATCCACAGTGGAGGCTTGGAACTGATACCCTATGGATATGAGGGTCCTACTGTACATACCCATTCTCACAGTGAAACTGGAAGGCTACTTCACCATGAAAAAGAGTTACAGTCTATGTCACATCATGAGCTTCCATAGCAATACCATACAAAAATTATATAACAATTTTTGCCTTCTCTTACCATTTATGGACAATACAAACTCTCTTTTTGTTTGGCCTGCAATATTACTTGCAACACAGGTATAACTTGCTGTATCACTTAGGTCAGCATTATTGATCTGCAAGTATCTCCCACTAGATAAGATGCGAACACGAGGAGTTGCCTGAGAAGAAAGATTGCACAAGCTCATATTATTTTTCAACAGTTTATGTGGGTTTTTAGGTCTCTCTATCTCTCTTTAGGCTTTTTAGAGTGCCAGAAAAAAAAACAAATATACAGTGGTGCCTCGCTTAGCGAGGTTAATCCGTTCCGGATTAACCCTCGCTCAGCGAATCCATCGCTAAGTGAAACAAAAAAGCCCATAGGGGCCATCGCTGAGCGAACGCTCCAGCGATGGCCTGGGACCCTTCGTTATGCAGTTTCATCGCATAGCGAAGCGTTCGCTATGCGAGGCACTACTGTACAAACAAGAATGGGGAAACATGAGCAAGGCCTTTTCCTTTTGTGTAAAAATACAAAAATGAAGAAGGCCAGAAGAACCCAAAATTTAAAAAATAAAATAAAATTTCCACCATGCACATTCTTAGGCTCCACTCTGAGGGCTGAACAACAACCCTACAGTCATCCCAGAAATGCAGAAATGACCATAATTTAGACCATTTTTTGCACATTTCTAAAGACACTTTATATGCCTATTCTCTACCTTGTATATGCATTGGACACTACAATCAATTTTGTATTGACACATCTCAGGAAGCAGATGCAGAGAACATACCTGCAACATCTCTCCATCTTTGAGCCATGTGATTGTGGGAGGAGGCACTGCATCTGATTTGCACTCCAGGATAATCTGCCTATTCTTCAGCACACTGAGATGTTGCGGACTGCTTGTACCAGCAATATTAGGAGGAACTGTCAAATTTTAAAAAGTGCAAAATATATATGGTAAATAAAAACTTAATTTACTGGAATAAAATTCTTGAACATTGATTAGCCTTCTGACAAATATCCTTTTAACTGCCAAATATTGATTCTCATCTCAAAATTCTTCTAATGCAATGGTTGCCAACATTGGGTACCCCAGGTGTTCTGCAGCTCTCAGAAATCCAGGCTAGCACAGTTGGTGGTGAAGGCTTCTGGGAATTGTAGTCCAAGAACACCTGGGTTAACCACTGTTCTTATGGAAGCCCCCAAATAAAATTATCTCTATCATATTTTTATTATCTTCTGAAGAGACAGGTCAGCCATGGAAGGCAGCCCATCTAGGAGAAGGAAAACTCCAATTTCAAACCTCCACTGCCTTGTGGCTATATCCACTCATGGAAAAGGCTTCAGGAGTTAACCTCGAGGCAAAATCCGGAGCTGGAGTCCCGAAGGCAGCATGTGTCGTTCTGCCAACTCCTGCGACATTGCTGGAACCAGTTGTATTGGCTCTTGCCTTTCCATTGGATCATTTCAGCAATGTGGAGAGGGGGGGATCTGCTGCTTGGGTAACAGCCTATCCTCCATATTACCTTACCCGGGCTTCATGCTCTGGAGAGAACACTCCTCGATTCAGAGCATGTTACCATAGTCTCTCGAGACTGAAGTATGCCTATGCTAGTAGCTTCTTGTGCCTGTCTCATACCAAATGGATACCTGATTTTTTTTCGGTGTTTTGTTTTGTTCTGTTATAAAATTGCGGACATTTTGCCATCTCCTTCAGAACCCCCACGTATTAATGGATCGGATCAACCTGAAGAGATTTCAATAGTTGTTAACAACCCCTTAGAGCTTTGGTGTATTTCTGATGGGATTCCAGTTCCCAAGATCATGTGGATGAAGGATGGGCGGCCAGTGCCCCAAACTGATGATATTCGTATCCTAAGAGGAGGAGAGGTCCTTCGATTTTCCAGTGCTCAGGTAACAGAAGCACAACTCACTATTAATTGGATGACTACTAGAGTCAAATGGGATTACTACCATTTTGGAATTTATCCTCCATTTAATTTGATTTTGTTGAGTTTTGTTTTTAACTCTGGCTGTTTGTTTGTCCTGCAGGTGGAAGATACTGGAAGATATACATGTTTGGCTTCTAGCCCTGCAGGAGATGATGATAAAGAATATTTAGTGAGAGTACATGGTAAGAATAATTTGGAAGGAGCAATAAGCTCAATTATGCAATCTTCACCCACCTGCTTCTGAGCGTCTGTCTATGAAACCGTGACTACCCTTTTCAACTTTTTCCCTTTGCACTCTTATCTCCCTCCTATCTCTTCAGAAGACAGAAGATAATAAAAATATGATAGAGATAATTTTTAAATTTAAAAGGTTAGACCCTCTCTTTGTGCATCACCTAATTTTAGTACACACTCATTCAAAACTGTTGATCTTCTTAAGATCTTAATGTCCAGAAAGGTTCATAATGAGATAGATGATCCCTTAAACAGCCAACTCCCAAGGGCTAAATGTTGGAAACAACACTTTGAATTGGGTCCAGTTAGAGCAACTGGCAACCAAGGCAGGTATTTCAATATCAGGGTTACATAATCGTGATATGGTGCACTGGAGCCTCGTGGCACAGTGGTTAAACCTCCATCCTACTGAGGTCAATAAATGGAGTACTCAGCTTGTGGGGACAGGGGGGATGTATACCCTGCATTATTAAACTGTAAACCACCCAGAGAGAGCTCTGAACACTATGGGCGGTATATAAACAGCATGTTTTGCTTTGCTTTACTTGGTGCATATTGCACCAGCTGAAGATCTCAGACCTCTTCAATTGTAGAATAACCTAGAACTGATTGCCAGTAGTCAAGCCAAACTGCAACGGAGACATAGATACCTATTGCTAAATCAGATAGGTTGAGGAAGGTCATCCTAGTACATTAAGCAGAGTTCTGTGAAACAGTCCTTGCTGATGTTGCCAGCTGACCTACTGGGGAAGCACAGGCTGAATCCTAGTTCCTGAGTCTGACTTTCTACTGAACAGCAACACCTCCATCTTGCCATGATTTAATTTAGTTCATTTATCTTCAACCATTCTACATAGTACCTCTTACCACATGGAAACCTGTAGCCACCATTCAGGCTTTTCCATGTTCCCTTGCAGTTCAATATCTGGCTAGAGCACCGATGCTACCACATCAAATGTTTTACAAGCAGAAATTATGAGATATATAACCACCTATTTAGACTTCCAGTTTTCATGGATATCCTTGTGATAGCTTGTGACTAGCCAAGCTCATGGTCTTTAAATAATTGCATATTTAAATATTGAAAATTCTTACCTAGAACTTTAAGATTAAAGTGCTTGTTGACTTCTCCAGCTTCATTAGATGCTATACAGGTATATCGACCTGTATCATCACTCTCTGATTTGGCTATGTGAAGACCCATATCTTGGTTTTCCAAAGTCACATGAGAACCAAGGATGAAAGATTGGCCATCTTTAAGCCATGACATACGAGGTGCTGGGATTCCATCAGCCAAACAAACCAAAGCCACTGGATTCCCTTTTATAACAGTTATTTCTTCTGTTTCTCCACTACTTTCTATGCTTGGTGGTACTGCAGGAAAATATCAAGAGGATCATTTATAGAATTAGCTGAACACAAAATTTGAAAAATTGAACTTATTTT